GAGCTACTAGATGTGCTTGGAGGGACTAGATGTGACCTCCTGAGCTCCCTTTAACCCTCATTTTCTGTGATTCTGTGTGAAGCAAGGCAGGATGCACAATGTTTGGGGTCAGAGAGCCCATGGAGTCAGTAAATGACTATGTGTCATGGGCCTGTGGTAAACAACTGTTTCATCCATGTCTAAGAAGGACGTGAAATGTTAGGAACTTTGCCCAGGGCTCGGGGGTGCCGTACACGCATTAAGCCTGTGCCCTGCCACCAGCCTCCAGGGCTTATCTTGTAACCCTTTGGACAGGCTAGTAAGGGAGTTGGGCTTTGTAGGTAAGAAACCTGGCTGAGCCCCTGCCATCAAACTGAGCCTGTGGTCAGGCTTTGTGTGACGTCGAGGTCTCCAGGAAGTACACACTGTCCACAGCAGCACCACAGACAACAAACACCCTTCCCTGGCCCTTATACAGAGAGCTGCTCTAGAGGAAAGAGAAAAAAGAGGAACAATGCTGGTTGTTGAGCCAGCTTTGCCAGATGTCAGTGGACTCCCTCCATCACTGGAGGTGTCAAGAAGAGGGTGGACAGACACTGGGCACCTCCTGAGCTCCCTTCAACCCTCACGGTCTAGGATTTTATGACAAGACCCAGCATGGGCAGGCCTGACTCTGCCGTGTAAGGTGTGGGGGCAGATGCTCCCACTCAGCTGCCTCATGGGGCAATGGCAAAGCTGGGCCCCCCCATTTCAGCTGGACTTGTCATCAAGACAGGGTCTCATGGCTAGGACCCGTCATGTCCTCGTGGCATGTGGCTTTCCCACTAACCTGGGCCATTCTTCAAGACGGCCACCACAGACGCCAACCCCCCCCGGCAGCATGCCTACAGCCTCAGGGGAGATGGCCACCCCCTGTTTGACAGCCAGGCGCTAGGGGAGGCTGCGGAGAATGCGAGGGGAGCAGGAGGTGGCGGGGAGCAAGGTGAGATGCTGGACCCTGCTCCTGGAAATGCTGGGAGGCAAGGGTGGCCATCCCTCCCACCACCCCCATCACTGCCCCTTACCTCAGGTGCATCAGGTAGCAGAGGACCCTGCGGGGGGGGTGAGCGCAAGCCGGGTCGCTGGGCACCGCACCAGCCTCCTCGTCCTCCCCCACGGGCACCAGGAAGATGCGGTGGCGTAGGAAGGTCATGTGATGGGCCGGCATATTCTGGAAGTCGTACGTCACCAGGAACATTTTCACCACAGTCTTGTTGGGGTTAAATAAGGTCTGGAAAAAAAGTGTGTGTGGAGGGGAGAAGGTAAGGAAGGTTGGGGGAATGGGGGGACAGGGAGTGTGGGGAGGGGGTCTGGGCCCCTGGGGTGAAGAGCAGAGAGTGCTGGGCTGCTGGGCAAAGGGGCACAGGGGTGTGAGGAGGTGCCTGGCTTCAAAAGGTACAGAGCAGGGCAAAGGCTGTGATGGGGCCCACTCAGCACCGGGAACGGGAGCGGATAGAGGCTGGGGTGCCAAGGGCTACCCGAACCTCAGCACCATACCCAGAGAGGCTCAGCTCGAGGCCCGAGCTTTGGCCATGCGCCAGGCCAGACTCAGCCTGGCAGGGGGATGGGATGTGGCCGGTCTGAGCCCTCTGACGCCCAAGCTCACCACTTGGATGGTTCCAGCTTTGGGCACGCTGTAACCCTTCTTTCCCAAGGCTTCCAAGTCGATCACTCCCTGGAACGACAGAGCGGGGAAGATGGGGAGGGAGCGCCGGGCAGGCAGCCTGGCCCCGACATGCAGCCGACGACAAGGGGCAGGTGGGAAGAGGTGGCGCTCAGCCTGCGCCACATCCCTGTGGCCAGGCCCCTCCCTTCCCATGCAGGGCAGCACCATCACTGCACGTGCCACCTTGCTCAGTGCAGCAGAAGTTAAGGGATGCCGCGTCCTGGCAGGAGCCGCCTGCCCAGGTGGTGCCTTAGTGAGCCGTGTGTCACCTGCCAGGACAGCAGGACTCCAGTGACACCCCAGAGAGGAGAGCGGGCAGACACACTCCCCCAGGCCTCCTTATTACAGAGCACTTCCCCCACAGAGACCCTGCTCGAGTGTCTGGACCCCTCCCTGCAGAGAGCCAACAGCTTCTCCTGCCATCTCGGAGGACCTGCTGGCTCCTACAGCTGAAGGGGAATCCCACGGTCTCAGCGTGCCTTGCTCCAGCTGGCTGGTGCCCAGCTACCCAGACTGGCCAGAGGATGAGACATGCCCAGTCCAACAGCACCATGCACCAGCCTGGCTGGCAGGGCCCTCAGGAGGGCAGGGCTAGTCCGAGCCCCTGCTCCAGGCAGGATCTGCACCGGTGTGTCTGATGTATGTTTAAACACCTCCAGGGCTGGAGACTCCCAGCCTCCCTGGGTATCTGCCAGGGGGAGAAGGCTCCCCTTCATCTCCAGCCTGCATCTCCCCTGCTGCAGTGTAAAACCCTGTGGTTTCTATCCTCTGCGTAACCTCCCTGCACAGATTTGCAGCCTGGTCTCGAATCCCCTCATAGCCTCCTCTTCTCCATGCTCAGTCACCCATGTCTGCCTGCCTCTCCCTGTGTATCGGGCTTCCCAGGCCTCTAGTCAACTTGATCCAGTCAACTTGATCAGTCTCTGCTGGACTCTTTCTCTGGTCTCACTAGCCTCATGCTCGAGGGAAATCTACCTAACAGCTTAAAAAGGTGAACTTGGGAACAACAGTTCATAAGCTGGCTAAACACTGAGAACTGAGGATAAATAGACATGGGATTTATGGTCCATTATATTTTACCCAACTCTTGACCCTCCTCCCTTTGGAGAGGCCTTGATCTCCCAGCAAGCAGCTTCTTGGCTTCTGCTAATCATGTATGTGCTACCCCAGGGATTTCTCTCACCCCTTCCCCTCTGCTGGTTTCACTCTACTGTGATCACAGACCCGCGGAAAAATGCCTTGCATTCAAAAGTTGGTCTGATTTTATCCCAGCAATGGAGTTGATCCAATAAAAGTCACCGCCCTCCAAAATCCCTGCCTCTGGTGTAATTTCTGGACTGCCACGCCTACAGCGTCACTCTTATATTGCAATTGGGTCAAGTCTTTCTTGCGACAGGTGCCCCAAGCTGGATTCACAGTTTCATAGTTTCTAGGGTCGGAAGGGACCTGAGCAGATCATCAAGTCCG